CTCTTGCTCATTGTGCTTCTCTTTTGTGATGCAAGGATAGACAGTTTGGTGTTCTGTTATGTGCCTACATTACCGTGGAGGAAGGGTACTAGATAGTCGAGTAATAGCTAGCTTGCTCATGTTGGAGTACTTGTTTTTGCTAAAGATCAGTTAGTTAAGTCACTTTATGATTTGTGAGAAGTGGCTGCGATTGGTGGTTTAGAAGTGTCAATCACACGAGTAATTGTATTTATTTATTTTTACTAGGTAGCGTGTCCGTGCATTGCTACGGAATAACTAACAATTTATACTAAAAACATACGGATCGCACGATAAGGTAACAATACTGTTAAATTAAATACCAACGTTAAAGTGACATTTCATCCAAAAAAACAAAATTTATGAATTTAACACAGTCACGGAGTGCGCGGTGTCGTAGGCTCACAAACTCTAGAGCTTCCAGAGATTGGGTCGAATCCAACCTAGAGTATCGGAACCCTGCATCTTTTCCTAGACGGGCTTCACTTCGGATGTGCCGGTAGCAATATCAACGATCTCCAGTCGATGGACCAAGTCGTATGGATCCCCATACACTGGCTTAGACATGTAGATTTTATTCTCCTTGTACTTGGATACACTTGTTCCACTGAATCTTTCATTGAAATATTTAGACACGAACAGTGTCTGATCACCGATGTCCCTCACTCTAGACTACTCCGACGTACGGTCGTGGAGGTTGCACTTGTAGATCGCGCTGCTGTAGGTGAAGCTCTGTGTCTCGTGGAACGTGCTCACCATGGCACCCACAATGTACAGCTCACCGTTTGATTCCAGGTAGCTGCAGTGGCAGAGCTCCGCAGGTGGCGACAGCGATGGCAGCAGCGTCGCTGTTGGAGTAATGCCGGCGGCGTTGCTACTGCAGACGGAGATTTCTCTAGTGCAGTCGATCGCCAAGAACTTGTCATGGCAGTGGACGATGGACCCCACGGAGAACTCAAGTTTGCTGTCAAATAGCGTCCATGCACTGTCGACTCCAACCCGGCAGAACGCGACCTCCGTGGAGCACCCAAGCATGGCCATGGCCATGCACTCGCGGTCGGCGGCGGCAGGCGGCGCCGAGAGCACGATCTCATGGAAGAACACATCCCTCATGTCTTCTAGCTTGATGGCTCTGCCTACGGCATCCGCGTCCCCGTAGCCGTTGGTGGGATGGAGGACCCACCGGCCGTGGACCCTAGACACGTGTTCCGATGAGGACGCCGTCGTGACGTGTTCGTCTACTGGCGGGAGCTCAACGCGGAGGGGGTCACGGGCACCGGCGAATGGATTCAGCAGCGTCACGGACGCCGCCTCGTCCATGAGCGCCAGCCACCCACACGAGGAGCCGCACGCCACCTTGCCACGCACATCGGGCAGCGTCTTGGACAAGACCTTCTTCTCCGGGACACAGAAGAAGCCGACACGGTCCGAGTCGGGGTCGAACGGGAGTAGCAGGAGCAGCCCGAAGGTCGCGAATGGGACGGCGGCGCGCCATGGGGAGCAAGCGGATCGGAAGGACGCCGCGTCGTGGCCTGACGCGAGACGCTGCCCGATAGACTCGAGGAGATCCTCTGACAGGTCGGATCTCCAGTCAGGGAGAGGTAGAGACCTTCTCTTGGGATTGGGAGGCTGAGCCATGGAAGACAGATGACATCCACTATGGTTCACGCAAGAAACAGCAAGTGAGGGCGATGGAACACGTGAGCGTGAAACCAAATGAAAGGAGAAAAAAGTTGTCCCTTTTACAAATGCAAAGAAGGGAAGTAATTAAATGTAAGCAGATTTGATAAGGTTCTCAGAAATGCAAATATGTTTTTTTTGTCTTAATTCTCTTTTCTTCTGTGTTAATTCTCTTTCCTTTTACTCGTTGCCATGTATACTTGGTGCATGCAAACATGCAATGTGTATATGGATAGCACAATAATTTTTTACTTCCTATTTTGCCGTGATTACTCTATCACATGACAGGCAATATTCAATCAAGGAGAATGTCACGATCAATCAATAATTAAGATGTCGTGGGATCGCAGACGTGGGCAGACGGATGAACTAAAACAAATGTTGTACCAAAAAATATCAACACTTTGTTTTTTTAGTTGTAGGAGATTCTTCCTGTTAATGTTATTGTTTTTTTTTTGTCTAAGTGCCTCCGCTCTCTGTCGTACTCCTTTCATCCACAAAAGAATTTATTAATAATAACACAAAATCAAATTAAAATATATTGAATCCGGCTGACTATAAACAAATAAAAATTATCAATATTTATAATATCAAATAAGTAGCATTAGATTTGTTATGAGGTATATTTTCATATTGTACTTATTTAGTGTCATAAACATTAATATTTTAACCAATGTATTTTCTCAAACTTTAGACACGTTAATAATAGCACATTATCAAGTTCAAGAATCTTGAATTTGACTGACTACAAAAAAAAATTATCATTCTTTTGTAAGATTTGATAAGTATAGATTTGTCATGAGATATATTTTCGTACTATGCTTATTTAGTATCATAAACATTAATTTTCTTACCTATGTATTTCAAATTTTAGACTCTACAGTAGGATGTCTTGATGAATTAGGCCCGCTACCTATGCTGGTTTTTGCGTTTTATTGTTGAAAGCTCTTCTGCAACGTTCTTTTTATAGGTTCCAGATTAGATGACAACTTGGGTAGTTGGGCACGCTTTCTGTCAGTCACCGAGGCTCCGTTCGCTTCGCTAAAAAAATAAACCGAAACACTGTTCCAACTGATTTATTGTGAAAAGAGTCCAACTGATTTATTGTGAAAGAAAAAACACTGTTCTGGCTAAAAAAAACAAGCTAAAAAATACGGATTATAAGACAAGCGAACAGAGCCCGAGTTGTCCAAGGCCCAATCATGGCAAACCACCAGAGCTTGATTTTTGTGCTCGTTGTGTTTTCAGTGATCATAGATTGAAATTTTGAGCTAATAATGACCAGACCATATGTGTGAAAGAGCGGTTAGCCACCAGGTGCTTTGGTGATTCCATTTGCGTTCTGCATGGCTGCCAGACAGGGTTTTGCCTGGCCTCCTTGCCGAATGAATTTATCTGAAGTCAATATCTTTCGTTGGATCAGCAACCAAGGGAAAAAACAACCTGTACTTTGGTTCAACCTTGGCCTTCCATACTTTCTCCCAAGGATGATCAGGGAAGGAACCAATGAATTGAACATTATAGGTTGATGTTACAGTGTAGTTTCCATCCACAGTGAAGCACCTAGTGATCTGATGAGGTTGATCATGTAGTTGGATTGGCAGCAATGCTTCCCAAAGAGACACGTATTATCTTAATTCTTGATCATTGGACATACATCGTAGGCCGCACATCCATAGATTTTTCCGTCAAGGAACTTAAAACACATAGGTGCAATTTGTTTAGGGCGATCTTCCTTCCAGCCATCTGTCGTGCTAGAAATTTGCCTGTAGTCCATCACCTAGTAGAGAGATAGTTGTGTTTCTGCAGTGGCGCGTTGGCTTTCTTGGAGATGACAGATGAGAAAGAAGCAAGCTCGGCTGGATCCCTAGCCGGCTGCTACTGGTCCATTGAATTATCAGTTTTCATCTTTGTGTTTTCGTGAATTCTCAGAAATGTTTTCCTCATTAGCCTTGTCACTCTCTTTCTGTATCATGTTTCAGGTCTTGGGAAAACATGTTCCATAAAAAATGGGGAAAAAGGATCTTGTCTGGAAGCAAGCAACTAGCGCCACACCTGTGCCTACGTACGGGTCGGGTTTCAAGTCTGACAATGAAGCATCCATTCACACGAACCGTGCAAACATGTCATAATTTCAGACTTCAGAAAGTCTATAGGAGGCCGGCCTAGATACCGTAGCAGGCCAAGCCCAAGCGTGGCGCGGCAGCTACCACTGCACGTACAGTACAAGGCATCAAGCAGTCAAGCCGTTGCCGTGCACTCGCCGATCTCGGTGCCTAGGCCCTAGGGTGCCGTACGTCGCCGGAAAGGACGCTGACGCGGCGTGCCAAGACTGTATGGGTTGACTCTGTCAGGTGGCCCCTGATACAGCTACGATTTCGTGGGGTACGAGATGAGCAGACGATTCCACGATGACGGAAAAGAACATGGACAGAACCGCATGCAAAGTCTGAAGAACAGTTGCGATGACGATGATGATTGATGAAGAGGAAGACACGCCAATGGCGGAGCACATTGTGCGCTCGTGTTATTGCTGACTGCTGAGGTAGTACTTTTAAGTTGTTGACTTTTTTTTTTTAGTACGGTGAATAAAGTCATTTTGAATAAGGCTTATCAAACATTAGAAATATAAATTATGAATAACTTTTAAGTTGTTGAGTTTGGAAATGTGAAAACCATATGTATAGATTTATCTTGAAAAATGCTTTCACAAAAATTTACATATATCACTTTTTGATAAATATTTTTATAAAAATAAATAATCAAAGTTATACTTTATAGACCGTGTCGCTGTCGAAACGACTTCATTTTGTGAATAGGAGGGAGTATACATCATACGCCGATGATTGGTTAAGTTTCAACAAACAAGCTTTTCCAAAGGGGTTGCGAAATTCCATGCAGAAACAATCCACCGAAATCCAAAACTCGCAGTTCTAGGCCAGTCTACGATCGCCATCCAGCAGCGACCAACCAAGGCCTCGTTTAGATCGTAAGTTTTTTTATTCTCTTTCCATCATATCAAATCTTTGACACATATATGAAGTATTAAATGTAGATAAAAAAATAACTAATTACACAGTTTGATTGTAAATTACGAGATGAATCTTTTGAACCTAGTTAGATCATGATTGGACAATAATTATCAAATACAAACGAAAGTGCTACAGTGTCGAATACCGATTCTTAACCCGTCTAAACGAGGCCCAATTAACCAAAGCCGTGCGCGCGCCCATCCCTGGCTAACGGACGATACGACCAGCTCGAGACGCCTCGGGCTCACCACCTATCGGCGACCACGGCAGTCACTTACAGCGGGCCCCGGCGACGCCACCTCCGCGATCCAATCGTTTCCCGCCCTCGCCACAACCTACCGGCCGCCGGGACCACTGCTCAGCGTCCTGGCTGTCGGGCCTCTCCTTCCCCTCGTCCTCGTCGCCCACCGCCGCCGCGGCCAGCGCCTCGTCGCCCCACGAAGCGGCTCTTCTCCCGGACTTGAACCTCCGCATTCCCGCAATGCCCGGCTCCTCCTGCTGCTGCTCCCCGTCATCGTCCTCCAGCGCCATCTTCCTGGACGCGCCGCCGGGTACACGGGCGCAGCCGTCGCACCGGAACATGGCCGCCACGCCGTGCCACCACCCGTGGCGCCCGCGCCGGCGCCGCCCGTGCCGCTCCCGGTCGGACAGGACCTTGCCAATGCAGGACACCTTGGGCGACCGCGGCTCCACCTCGCCGTCGCCCCTGCTGCTACCGCCGCCGCCGCTCGCGCGCTTGTCGTGCAAGATCCGGTCTTGCGACGGCCGGCGCCGGGAGAAGGTCGGGCGGATCTTGGCCGGGAGGCCGAAGAAAGTGGTGCCGGCCGCGGGGGGTGGGGCGCCCGCGACGCGCGTGGAGTTGGACCGCGTCTTGGCCGCGATGGGGTTGGCCACGACGGCCGCCGCGAACTTGGGGTTGGTGCTGCCCTTGGTGGAGTCGTCCCGTTCGTATATCGGGTTCAGCTCCGAGAACGCCACGTCGTCGCCGATGGGGATGGTTATCGACTCGGGCGGGAAGTCCGGGTCCGGTGGCGGCGGCGGCGGCATGGGCATCCGCGGCGGCGAGGCGTCCTCGCTGCCCCCCGCGATGACCGTCTCGCACGACACCTTCCTGTCCCCGGCGCCGGCGCCCGACACGCCGCACACCAGGCTCTCCAGGTCCACCTGGGGCATTGCGCGCGCAGCTCGCTGCCTTGCTATTGCTAATTTGCTAGTGCAGGGGGGGAGTGCAAGAGTGAAGAAAGCAGCAGAAGCAGAGGCAGGGAGAAGTGGCTGCTAGCAGGCGCTTCCTTTTAAAATTCACATGAGGAAGGTGGGGGGAGGCAAAGCACAGCGAGGCTGCATCAGCAGTGCTCAGAGGCTGTCCTATACAAATAATAAGTGACGCAGAAAATGCTACCTCTGAAACGAAACGAACTCCAAAAACGGATCTCGACTATTTGTCTCCCCAAAAAACCAGTCTCAGTGAGCTGAATGCAGTGTTCACCTCCAGCCAATTCACTAGCTGAGGTTAAAACGGAAAATGGCATCGGCAGTTGCGTAAGAGAGCAACAATCAAGTGAAAACTCCCTATTTAGAGACCAAGGATTATATACAACAAGGTCAGCAGGGGTAATTTACCTGGTCAGTCCATGATAACGGTGAAGCAGACAGGACAGGAGTGACCTAGGCGATTTTATGCCGATCTGGAGACCTCCGACAGAGCCCATTTTCTGCTGTGGCCCTCTCATTTCAGATTTCAGCGTGGAACGCCCAATGATCCCCCTGAGACCGATCTGTCTTTACGCAGCAGTGGGCAGTGGCCACAAAAATGTGACAAGAATCTGTTGCTGCGCTTTATGATTTTCGCAAATAATAAATACCAGTTGGGCCTGTAGGATCATCAGCCTGTCGACACCTGTCTTCAGTTCAAAATAATTTCACCCTCTAACTAACATAACGTCAAAGAACACCGTAGGGTAAACCTCACTCAGCAGCTCACTCAGCAGCACCAGCACAGCACCTAATTTTACAGAGGTCAGAACCAAGATTTGAAGGGTAAATCAAGAAATCTACTCTGCAGAACTGTTCATGATCACTTGATCAGGATGCAGGGCAAGGCTTGGTAAAAGGAATCAAGGACAGTTCTGGGCATGAGTGCAGTTTGGCTATCACATGGCGATGTCGGACTGGGTAGTGAGCACCAGAAGGCATCAGCGGGGCACCAGGCCCATTTGTACTATTTTGTTGGCTTCCCTGCACAAATATAGCTGCAGTCTTTCATTGGCGAGATATTGTGAGAAGTAATGGCCGTGGCTTAGCTTGCAAACGTGCCGTTTTGCTCAGTGTTCAAGTTCCCTGCTCGCTAAACATACCAACCTGATCTTGTGAAGTGACTGAAGCCTAACGATACTATGAAAGAGACAGCTGAATGACCCCTACACAGCACACTGATGGCTCAGCCTGCGGTGTTCAAACACAGGAGCCTCACACATATCATACGCCCTTTTATCTTAGTAGTGGTACAAAGAAATGAAAGCTGAGAGTAGGCAGCTCTTTTATATAAATATGAAAGCTCTAGATTTCTGACATGGAGGTGCAAGTGCAAGGCCATATCTACTATCTACCTATCTAGAGTGTATCGCTGTATCAGTGTGGAAACCTATGAAGCTATGTTGGCCTTGAAATAAGCCAAGCCACACCTTGATTCCAAAGAGGTCCATGCTTGGACCTTGGTCAACACTCAACAACCCCACAAGCTCCCATGGGGTCGGAATTATTGTACTCTGCGACAGATTCACATTACAGGACAGTGAAGAATGGGACGAGGAACCATATTAAAATTGAGTGTCAGGTATAATAAATTGAAAACAATATCCTCTTAAAGTGGAGATCCAAATGGAATAATTCCTGCAGCCAAGAATGCTTCTTGAACCATAGTAGGTTAATGATATGGGCACAGCATAACAGGCATCTATAAAGGCAGGATTTCTGAATTGAAGAACCTAAGTACTAGGAGTTATTGAGGAGTATTGTTGACGAAGCATGTTAGAGGAAATTGGAATTAGTATAATCTCAACTATACAATAATCACATTGCACAGCTGAATGCAAGTATTTTAGGACTCGGACCAAATGCACAAGCTAAATGGAGACTTTTTTTTCTGAAAGCTTCTAAATCGAGACTTAGCAATCTTTTTGTTTGAGCTATTCAGCACATGGTAGTGCATGAAAAACGCCAAGATGGTTTCTTATAACTTGATCCTGAAATTTGTTTAAGAATGAACTTTGGATGCTAACTATAGTGAAGCTATGGTTTCTTAATGTCTGAGCAATTTGATTTCTGCAACTGAACTTTGTACCAACCTACTTGATAGTTCACAATAGACAAAGTTAGGTTACAGACTATGGAAATTAGCAGGAACGTTAGGTGTGTTGGTTGAGCTCTCTGTCAATTTATCCAGAGGACTCTGCAACCGAAAGCAACGTCAAACCGCCAAAATTAGACTGCCAGAATGTTGGTTAAGCTTTCTCTATCCATAATCCATTTGTCCATTGTACATAACACCGCATAATATACTCCAATGAAGATAATTCAAGAAGATAAGACGAGATCAGCATAAGGCGCAATACATTACTACAACAAGTGAAGTGGATGGAGAAAACTGCAAACCAGCATCATGGAGTCAAAAGTTACGATGTCACTAAGAAGGGTTTTGGTGACATTAACAGTAAATCCAAATCCTTCGTGGGAATGACCACACGTGATCTACAAAATTTTAAGCTTCCCCCAATGATTCGATTACGTCTCAGCACTTTGTATTATAGCCCTCCACCACTACTTCTGAACTAGGGTCACCAACTAAATAAGTAACAAGGACAGCAGCAAACTCAAACGATGCCGAAATCGCTCTGTAACTTGTAATCCGTCATCTCAAATAGCTTAAAAAAAAGGGAAGCTTACTCCTTCACGGGCTTGAGGCGGGCTTTGCGGGCCCAGAAGCCGACTGCTGCGGCGGGGGAGGGGTCGAGGCAGTGGAAGCGGAGCCGGAGCCGGAGGCGGCCTGCGATTCCTCGGCCGCGGAGAGCTTGCGGAGGCGTTCCTGGAGAACGCGGACGCGGTCCTCGGTGCGGCGGAGCTTACGCCAGCGCCAGGCGAGGTAAGCGCCGAGGCCGCCGTAGACGAGGATGTAGGAGCCCCACACGTACGGGTAGGTCTGCGCGTGCTCCTTCGCCTTCCGCCACTCCTCCTCCAGCTTCGCGATCACGCCGCCTCCAGTCGCCGCTCCCGCCACTGGCTCCGGCTCCTGCCGCGGCTGCGGCTGTGTCTGCCCGTCCCCGGCGGCCGCCATCGCTGCGCTTGTTGGTGTGCGCGGCGCCTGTGCGGCCGTGCGAGTGGGGGCTCGTGTCGGTTTCTTTAGGGCAAGCGCGAAATGGGCCTGGCCGAGCGACTTGTGATGAACGATGGCCCAAGCTACCCTTAGTTGGGCCTTCCTTCTGAATCTTCTTCATTCGGATAGGAAGGAACCTCCTTAATCTTTGGGCCACACTTGGCACTTCAAAGAGGCCCAAAATTTTGCTTGCTACACTCTGACATGCCAGATAATACTAGCCCATCACATTGTGCTCCAGCATTTAGAGTAGTCTAACATTGCTAAAAAAAATAGTGTAGTCTAACACCTTAACAATAGGACCCACAATATATAGGATAAAATATGCCTCCGTCAAAAGAAATAGTATTTTAATCTTAACTCAGAGTGCTAACTTCAACTATCGGTGTAATGAAAGTTATCTTGGCACCACTAGTGCAGCGTTTGACATGACAACGATGCAACAACCTTCTTCTCCCTACCCAAAGCAACCTTCCTATGAACGCACGCTGCGGGATGCGGATTCTCTAGAGGAAAACGATTCAAACAGTAGCGGGCTAGAAGTTTATGGGCCGCCAGCCTTTATGGCTTGCGGAGAAGCAGCAGACTCTGTTCGGCGTCAGCTGCCGCCTGCTGACAGTCAAGCTGATTGGATGAACTGTTTCGCTGTCAGAGAGAGCTCCTTCACATGGGATAACCGGTCAAGCACGTGCCGCTGCTAGCGAGGTACAGCGGTTAAGATCTATGAGACTCTTCCCGTGCCATTACGAAAGATGTTTCAGGCCTACATATCATTAAAAAATTCAAACACACCTTGATGCTATAACACTTTACTTTTTTTTTTCGTCTCCCAAGCCATTCCGTCTGCCTCCCGTCTAGTTTTTGCTGTTTAACAGCCCTGACGTGTGGGTCCAGTTAGAGAAAACATTCAAAATGCCCTTGTCTTTGCTCTCTCTTCTCTCTCCTGTGGCCGGCAAGCACTGCAGCACGAGGTCTCTCTTCTCTCTCCCGTGGCCAGCAAGCAACCACTCGCTCCGCCGTCGCGCCACCAATTCCGCCAACGAGCTGCTGCCGGAGCAACCGGCGCACCCCTGCCTGTGTGCGCGGCCCGCCCGCCACATGCCCTTGCTGGTGCAGCCAAGCGCTCCCGCGAGGCCTGGCGGGCCCTAGAGCCGCCGAGCGAAATCGGCCCGGCTGTCGCCCTTCTCTGCTTTTTGTGACGATTGGGGAAATAGAGAGGAAAAAACGGCGCGGAGAGGCAGTGTGGAGCTGGAAGATCGAGGGTGAGGCCAGCTGGGGTGGAGGACGACCGGCGATGGGAGGGTGCGCCGCGAGATGCCAGACGTCCGGCGGCCAGGGCGCAAGTGCCTGGCAGTCCTCGACGGTCCTGGCCTTTGCGACGGCAAGCAGGGGACTGAGAAGATGACGCGAGGGCGGTGGTGATGGCTGCTAGGCACAGGGGAGGTGCGTGTGTGGCAGAGGTGGAGGAACTGGCAGCGGCAAGCTCGACCCCGGCCAGCATTGGCGCCGGCGCCGCGTCCTGCGCATCTAAGTGGGAGCGAGTGAGGAAGGGAGAGCCGTAGGGCACGGACGCCACCAGACCACCCCCGTCCGGCGCTCGACATCGCTGCGCCTTCCTCTTCGTCGAGCTGCGACCCCGCGGACCCGCCTCGCCTCTCGGAGCTACGACCGCACCACCGTGACGCCGTGCTCAGCTTCGTCCACGTCCAGCCATGGACGCCATCGAGCACGCCACCAAGAGGAACAAGGAGCGCGCGGCGGCGGCCGCGACCCGCCCCTGGACGCGCTGAAAGGTCCTAATGGCTAGAGAGGGGGTGAATAGCCTAATAAAATTCTACAACAACACTTAACAAAATGTGTTAGACAATTTTGCGGCGAAGCGAGTGTTGCGCTAGCCTACTAAAATACAAGCCACCTACCTCAATTCTATTTTAAATAGTGTGTGTCCACACAATAGCTATGACACTTAGCTAAATTAGTGTGCTCTCAAAGACTAACTAAAGAGCAACACTAATCAAACAAATAAGCTCTCACAACTAGCTACACTAAAGAGCTTGATAAAATAGCGCGCTGTAATGTAAGAGTGAGCAAGAGAGTTATACGGCCACGTGTAGTGGTAGGAACCAATTAATCACAATAATGAATACCAATGTAGACCAATCACCTCGAATCAAATGATGAACACAATGATTTTTACCGAGGTTCACTTGCGGCAAGCTAGTCCTCGGTGGCGATTCACTCACTTGGAGGTTCTCGGGATTGGGCCAAACCCTCAATAGGTGCGGCAACCAACACAAGATGAGGATCACACAAGCCACAAGCAATTTACTAGAGGAGGTGGAGGAAAGGTCAAGAACCCCTCACAATCACCACGATCTGAGTCGGAGACAATCACCTCCTCCACTCAACGATCCTTGCTGCTCCAAGCCGTCTAGGTGGCGGCAACCACCAAGAGTAACAAGCGAAATTGAGTGAAACACGAACACCAAGTGCCTCTAGATGCAACCACTCAAGCAATGCACTTGGATTCTCTCCTAATCTCACAAAGATGTTTAATCTATGATGAAAATAAGTGGAAGAACTTTGGCTAGGCTCACAAGGTTGCTATGTCAATGAAAAAAAGATATGAGCCACGGTTGGCCATGGGGCTTAAATAGAGCCCCAATCAAATAGAGCCGTTATAACTTTTCTTTGGTTTATAGATCTATCGACCGGACGCGTTGGCCCTCGTTCATAATGGATGGACGTCACCCGCTTCAAACGTTGTTCATCGATTTCAGCGGGCTGCGACCGACCGGACGCTCGTAAACCGACCGGACGCTGAAGCCCTACGTCCTACAAGAAGCTCATCAGACGCGTCCGATCCATCAGACGAATCCGTGCTCAACCTCTAGCCAAGTTTCGCATCCCGGCAACCTTTCGGCGTCCATTAGTGACAAAGCGTCCTCGATGAAACCAATGACATCATTTTGATCAACTCCATTTCAACTCTACTTCTTCACCCTTGCTCAAGTGTTCCAAGAATTTTGCATCCCGCAATAGAAAATAGACATTTTATTTTTCCGAAAGTTACCGAATCCATCTCAACCCTACAAACACCTTGTACATGTGGTAGCATATTTACACAAATATTATCAAGGGTGTTAGCACTCCACTAGATCCTAAATGCATATGCAATGAGTTAGAGCATCTAGTGGCACTTTGATAACCGCATTCGATCTGAGTTTCACCCTCTTAATAATACGGCTATCAAACCTAAATGTGATCACACTCTCTAAGTGTCTTAATCACCAAAATAAAATAGCTCCTACAAGTTATACCTTTGCCTTGAGCTTTTTGTTTTCTCTTTCTTCTCTTCAAGTTTAAGCCCTTGATCATCTCCATGCTATCACCATTGTCATGTTATGATCTTCATTTGCTTCTCTACTTGAAGTGTGCTACCTATCTCACGATCACTTGATGAACTAGGTTAGCACTTAGGGTTTCATCAATTTACCAAAACCAAACTAGAGCTTTCATACTGCTTCGCTGCTTCACGCCAAAAAGACGAAGCAGCTCAGCAAACATGTGACCTCGTGACCTCCTTGCCGTCGCCGCGCTAAGCAGGAAGCGCTGGGAAGCCACCGCAATCCGAGATCATGGCGTGATTGCCCTCCGGCCTCCACAGTGCCAGTGCCGTGGAGATGTCACCATCAGCCCGCCATAGCCCGTCTAGCGGTTGATCGTGGATCTCCGATTAGTTAATGCAATCGGGATGGGGTGGCAGGCTCAGCGGGTGGGTGGTAATGGAGGTGGCGTCAGCATCCGCTGCAGGGAACGCACGTCGAAGCCTCAGTGCCTCCACGACGACGAGCCCACGGAGTAGAGGTAGTTGAGGAACACGGCGATGGGGACACGAGTGGATTTTGAACTTTTTTCACCTTTGTTTGACAGCGTTAGAGGCAAAAGTGGACGGAATGGCTTGAGAGACAAAAAAAAGTAAAGTGTTATGGCACCAGAAAATGCTTGAACTTTTTAATGGTCTATAGACCTAGAGTATCTTTCATAATGGCACGAAGAAAAAGGCTCAAGATCTATCGTGGGCTCTACCCATACTCCTACTCATCAGACGCGGATCAGAATCCAAAAAGTTTGCATCCCGGATCGGAGCATTAACAAAACCTGAAAACCAATAATATGCCCATTAGGCCATTATGGTGTTCCTCCTCCGTTGTGTTTTCTACCACCCATACTACTACTACTACTACTACTGATTTCCTTCTCCACAGTGCCACAGTGGAGATGTCACCATCACCGCCATAGCCCGTCTAGCGGTTGATCGTTCATCCGATTAGTTAATGCAATCGATTCAGGTCTGGACGTCAGGTTCGTCAGATAGCGCGCGCGTCGAAGCATTATGCCTATACATATACAAGTATATACACAATATGACCAACGTCTAGCCCAAAATTTTTATATTTTAGTCTTTTTTCTTAACGTTTCTCACGGTAGACCCCTGGAAGAAAGATTTCAGAATATGGACTCTTAACTCGGCGTCATTGATGCTGGCGCCGAGCTAACACATCTCGGCGCCAGCCACCCTGGCGCCGAGATCCTGGGCTCGAAGCGAACGTGGAAGGTCACATGGCAAGGAGCTCGGCGCCAGTCACTCTAGCGCCGAGCTCGGCGCCGTAGATCTTGGCGCCGAGCCTTTATTACCTATGGGTCCCGCCCCTCTCTTCCTCTCCCTCTCTCGCCCTAGCAGAGCCGAGCCAAGCTTCGCCGCCGCCCGTGCACGCGCCTCCACCGGCCGCCCCGCCTGCAACCCTGCCTCTGCTAGAGCGATGAGCTCGCTCAATCTGCTAGTATCGTCCTCAGCCTCCTGCACCTGCAAGCCCGTCTCTGCTAGAGCAATGAACTCACTCAGTCTGCCAGTGTTGTCCTCATCCTCGCCCCCCTCATCAGACAACACAATCGGTGAT